ACAGTCACACTGAGCCTCAGTGGCACTCACCACGCCATATACCATCTCTCTCAGAATCTCCCACCCATGAACCAGTCCCAACACGACAAATTCTGAGACTGAAAATCAGCCCAATGTCAGGATCACAAGCATAAACCCTGTCCAAACTGCACAAACCACATCCAGTGAGGGCGTGAAAACAATGAGTGCCCCATGTGGTTGACAATAAAAGCTGCCAGTGTTGAGACAAGCAATCAACTGCCTGAAGTGCATGACAGGACTTGGACATGGCCCCATCTACACAAGTCCGACACCAACAAAGGGATGGGTATATTCCAAAGAAGTGCAGGATATCTAAGCGACCACAATGCGATACACATGGCATGGTGTGGGATGACACCCCTCCAGGTGGAAAATGGTGGGGCTGAGAAGCTAAGGGATCTGAGTTGCGGCTGGTATATGGCCAACTACTTCCCTGCTGTTACAAACATACTTAGAGTGGTGAACATGACAGAGAGAAGGGTGTTGGTGAAAACAGACTTAGAGTGGTGAACATGACATAGAAGTGGGGTATTGGTGAAAACAACCTTAGAGTGGTGAGCATGGCTGGTAGAAGTGGGGTGTTGGTGAAAACAACCTGAGAGTGGTGAACATGGCTGATAGAAGTGGGGTATGGTGAAAATGGCAGAGAGAAGTGGGGTGTTGGTGAAAATAATCTTAGAGTGGTGAACATGACTGATAGAAGCGGGGTATTGGTGAAGACAACCTTAGAGTGGTGAAAATGGCAGATAGAAGTGGGGTATTGGTGAGAGCAAACTTAGATGAGTTTTGAGGGGAAAAAAAGCAATGTACAAAATGATGAGAAAACTGCAGCAGAAAAACCAAGTTTTTTTCTTGAAACTGGGACCCCAGATACCCTGTGACACTGGTCAGATATGTTTGAGCCATGTGACAAGCCTAAAAGATTTTTCAGCAGTGTGATATGCTTAGAACATATCCAAGCAATGTCACACCACTGAAATATTTCTAGCCATTCTGGCACACCTCAAACATTTCTGGCCAGTTCATTCCAGTGTCATCCCCATTGTCGAGTATGGGTGCAGGTGGTGACTGTGACCGTTCTTTGCGCTTATGGCTTGGATGAGGGCTGGGACTTCCACGGATAGCGGTAAGTTGTTCATCATATGCCTTTTTACAGGCTGGTGTCAATTGGATATGTTGATTAACGGCTTTCTGTGTAGGTTTTGGAGCCTTGCAATGAGGGCAGCAAACCATTGGCATTGTTGGACTGTTGATGAGGGTTACAGAGAACTTCTGCGACTCCTGGAGCTCAGTATGGTGAGTAATACATATTGGTCATTGTCTCAACGGCCGAACTGATGATATCCGACCCAGTCGCATGTGCTGATGAATGTGAAATAGGGGCCTGGATGGCGCAATCGTCTCTTCAATATTCAGGAATAATCAGGCCCACTCAATCTGCAGCCCCTCTTGCCTCAACCATCACCAAGTCACGTCCTCAACGCTGCGACGTGTTGTTGACATGTTGGGCTTCGTTGAATGTTTGGATGCCATCCGTATAAAAGGTTGCAAAAATGCTTGTGAGTCGTTAAGTCTTTCAATTTGAACGACGTACTCTCATTTTACCCTGCCTCACAGCATAAGCTATTCTCAAACCACACTCTCATCGTACTCTGATCAATGCCGACAGCTCGAAAGACCTATGCTGGTATGTTGCCTCATACATTGTCGGCTTTGGTCATACTGATATGATGTTCTTCTAGCTGTGGCGAGGACCACTGTTTCTAAAGTAACACCCACCTCCCATAGCCACCCAGAAGAAAATCGTACATTGATCATGTCTACTAAACAATGTGATCCAACATTTTAGATCCAGATACTCGCAACCAGGCTGGACGTACATCCTCCAACAAGGAGAATGCAGGTGTGTAATTACTTACTAACATCCCTCCCTATCTAATTTGCCTTTATCAGCTGTAACCGATGATAAATGAGCTAGTGAAGGTCGTGTACGTAAGCCCTCTGAGAAGGTAGCCAAACAAAGTAAGTTATATCTACTTATCGCGCTAGATACTTCTGACTAATTATGTTCTCAAGTGGCTGCCACACAGGAGAAGGATCGCCTCGAAAAGAAAAAAAGCGAGAAGAGCGCAAGAAAAAGAAGGCGCGGAAAGAGGCCAAAGAGGCGGGGGAGCCTCGCGCTAGTGATGATGAGCTCGAGGAGCTGCCAGATGCCATGGTGAAACAACAACACCTCTTTTATGACATGTAATCTAACATTTGGTTAGTTCACTTCTCGCACCGTTGTGTCAAAACCTGCGGAACTGGCTGCCCGTGCAAGCAGGATTCCACCCACCCCCATTCTGCCTTCTGCAACAGTTTCACGTGGTCGATCCACCCAACGCCAAGTACCTCCATCTCACTTCCAGTCTCCCTCGCACTCCCGAACACCCTCATGCTCCCAGTCTCGCTCACACTTGGGTGCCCCCTCAGCCTTGCGCTTGGGTTCTTACTCCCGCTCCTGCTCCTGCTCCCACCCTCCATCCCATTCCCACTCACACTCCTTCTCTCGCACCACTACATCTGCAGTAGGACTTCGCTCAGGCTCCCCACAGTCCGGTGAAAAGCATGCTCGCCCGCTTGAGGATGATGGTGAGGAAGAGGAGGAGGAGGAACATGATTGTCACCCCCCTCCCCCTGTTGTCCACGCACAGAAACTCAACAACGACAATTCGCGACCCAAAGCTGCAGACTACGACAGTATCAGCCAAGACACTATCCTCGCCGCAGCAAGTTACTACCGTGTTCTTCTTTTTACAGAGAACACTTTCCCCGATTCTGCCACCAAAGTACAGTTCCTCCGTCGAGCCTGGAAGCACGCCAACGACGACTCAGGTATGGAGCACCTTCTGCTTGATGCCGACGTGGCAAAAATTGTAAGTTTCTCTTCATGCTTTCATCAATGGTACACTAATTCTATTTTTTAGGTCAAGGCTTGTGGATCTCAAGCCCGCGGCAAGGCCAAGTCCAAGACTCAGGCCTTATTTGAAGTTCTTTACAGGTTCGATTCAGGTTGTGGCAAATCGGCGATCAAGAAAAACCGTGATAAGGCTGAACGCCTTAAGCATGAAAAGGGCTTTGTTTACAAGGTAATCAAGCTGATCACTACTTATTTCACCTTTTTACACTATCTGTTTTAGGAGCTCGAAGATCTTAACGATCCCGAGAGTCATCGCAAGGGGATGTACCAGCACCCCATCATTCAAAAAGCCGTCAATTGCATGTGGTTCAAGAACCGACGTGATGAAGGAATCCTCTTTGAGACTCTATTCGAGGGCATGCCCCTTCCAGCAATTGCCCTTCTCTTGACTGCGGTATGTGTTCTTCTTCTTACAAACTATATTACTCAACCGGCCTGTCTAGATTGAAGCCAATATTGATGAGTGGCTGACCAGAATCAGGGTTGCCGCTTCCTTCTTTGCCGACGAATACCGGAAAGTATACGCTTCACACCTAAACTCTCTGATGAGTTTTGCGGATTATAGCTGTGACCAGGGTATTGTAAAACGGCTTCGGTGGCGATGGTACAACTATGGGCAGTGAAGTATTTCCCTTTGTCCTGTGATACGTACTTGACTGATTGTTCTTTTGCTCATGTCGTAGTCAGCACGCCGGTGCGCCTTCCACCTCTCTCAAGGACATTCCTGCCATCCCTGTCTCTGTGTTTGCAGCTGCTGTACTGGAGTATGAGGAGAGCTCGGAGACGGATGACGATGGTGATATGCTTATTGATTAGTATTGTAGATTGTGTTTGTAAATCAACCGGAGGGGAAATATATATGTATTGGTTTCTACCTGTGCTACGTCGTACAACACTGTCTATGTCTGTCTATGTATAAAAACTGGACTTCTGTACAATGATACTATGGGGGACTATGTCGTGAGCAGGTGAGGCTATATATGTAATTATAGTATTATATAAACTGACTGTAATGCTATGGGGTACTATATAAAGGGGGGGTTGCAAAAGTGCTACTGTAGCTATCACGACTATATTGTGCAATGTCGTAACCACTTTTTTTCCTGATGAAAGCAACTGAAAGTTCAAGTGCAACTCAGGTGCAGATTGAAATTCTTCTGACTTTTACTAGGGCTGCGCACCGTACCCGTCTAGGACGGCTGGACGGGACGTCTAGACGGGTGCTCTACCTGTCGCCATTTCGATTTGGGATAAGATCTTGACGGGACAGATAGCACCTGTCTAATCCCGTCAACTGGACGGTACGGACGGCGATGCTGTGGGAAAGTTTTGAACATATCAACATCAACATCAACACTAACAATGTAGCCTTCCGTTCCCCTCGATTGAGTTTGGCGAGCTATCCTTCTGTCCATGGCAATTTCGCCTGGGAGACCGTGTTAAGCGTCGCGGGGAAGTCCAATTTGCGGTCAGTCCCTCTCAAAGCATCGTAGATTTCCTCCGTAAACGGCCCAAACTAGAGACAGTGAGCATCATGAAGGAGATGGAGGATAAAGGAAAATTGAAGGGAAACTATTAGGGAAACGATGGAAAGATGCATCGAAAGCTGATCGTTCACGTTCGTCCTTCCGTTCTCTGTGCTCTTTCTCAAAACTTTGCTCACAGCCTTTGCACAGCCTCTGTAGTGGGCAGAATCCTCAAATCTGGAGGCTGAGATGCAAGAATCAGCTCTGGCTCGGTACCATGATCCGTGAAGAGCAGTTGTTGGTGCAGGGTAAGCCCACTTCGACAATGTTCCAGTCCACTCGTCTGATTCTGATCATTTAGCGGAATCCTCGTTCCAGGTGGGTTTGGGAACCGTGGCACAGAAGGCATGATGCTCTTGCAAAGTCACCTTTTACTCACGTTGCCGTTGCAGATTTCATCTGGCGGTTCCGTCGCCTATCACGATCTCGAGGTTCTTCCTCATGAAGACACTAGGATCAAGGAGAAGGGTATTAATTTGAGTGGAAAGGTAAGTATGTTGCCCGTTGACTATGACAAAAGATGTTCTGACGATTCATTAACCCGAGCAGCATACTCCTGGTCGGACATCGTACTACTCGACGATCCATTGTCCGCAGTGGATGCCTACGCCGGCACTGTCTCCCCTGGTCGTCACTGATATCATGGGAATGCTCATTCGATACTAGCTGTAGATACATACATTATCACACACCCGTTGACAACCGTCACCTGTACGACGGCCATCTCCGTCCCTGTACCATCCTCGTCGAGATCCCAAAGGAAACACCGATGGGACGGGGGATGGACGAGACTTACCCGTTCACCACCCGTCCAGTAGACGGCCGTTCCTGTCCAGACGGACGGTGCGCAGCCCTAACTTTTACTCCCTACCCCGTAAATACATGGTGTTACCTATCTCAATGCTAGTCTTACTCCCTAGAACCTCAAAATACCTTTTCCGCCCTCAGTAACGAATGCGCACTTGGTGCGCGCAACACTCCTTCAACACTCGGGAAATGCCGAGCACTGTTGATGGGTGGTTGCCAGTGAGCAGCCATGTTGACGCCTCTACTTATCCTTTGTTCCACAACTCGTCTTAGGGTGGTACATCGACTCCATACTTCCGTTCGACATGACAACTGACTTGCTAATAGAACTCTCACCTTGCTCTCACCCACAACCACCACAGCAATTGCCAACGACGTGGCAGCCAACTGAAAGACGACACACGTCGACTCAAGATGACCACGTTGACTCAACATGATGCACATCGACTGCACGTCGACTCGACACGATGCACGTCGACTCGGCACGGCACACGTCAACACAACACACGTCGACTCGACACAACGATGACGATGCGACACATCAACGGTCCCCACCGGACATGCTGCATCGTCTGACAGTGACGACACACAATGTCATCACTTTGTCCAGCCGTTCTCGTCCATGCCAACCAAGGTGAGCACCTCTCTCCTGTCGAATAGAGAATACAGGGTGCCACGTCGCTGTCAGCAACATGGCAACCAAGGTCTCAATCGGACAACCGCCTCGCCATGTCCACAGGCAGATACCCTCAATTGAAACTCAAGGGCAGGTCCGCGACCACGAATCCGAATTGCCCACATCCCGCATCACCTCTGGGGAAGTTCCAACACCTCGTGCCCATCACCAGCACCACCAACCTATCCCTCTATTCCCATACAAGCTGCCACGTCGCCGACAGTGATGTGGCAACCAAACAACGAACAACGACCGTTCGTTGTTCTACGTCATCGAACTGGCGACGACATGCAGTGCGGACTTGGCTACGTCACGAACGAGGTGGAATTGCACAGCAACAAGGGAGGGGGGGATAGATGTGACAGATAGCCTCAATGTACGGTTCATGTTGTCTGAGCCCAGGTAAGTATATGGCCCTCTCCTCCCCATTCCTTGCTCTAACAAACAATGATGTCAGTTGTCAATTATTGACAATGGCATGTGACCACGACGGATAGCTTCGTCTACGCCCCCCAGCCAACATAATGCCGTCTCGAGCTCGACGCCAGTAAACCTTTATCCCTCCCCTTCCATCACACCATCCGATGCCACCGTTGCCGACGTCAATCCTGTAGCGCGAGCACGAAGTAGGCAACGGATGAGCACGGCCACAACCATAGACAATGACGCACCACCACGATGCGAGGGCCACCGCCATGGACGACAACACACATAGAGCACGAAAATGTGGACCACCACGATGCAAAGACACCACCATGACGAACATGATGTGGACCGCCACGACGAACACGACGGGGACCACCATGACGGACACGACGGGGACTACTCCGACAGCAACCAGGATGCATATAGATTTGCTTAATGTACATTAGTAGAGGTTTTATTACACTCTTTTTACATTTTTCCCCGTGCTATTCTGACAGAGGTTTTGTTTGTATGTGTTATGCTGCAGCACCAATTCCCGTAAGGTCATCCAAACCTGGCCAGCCGCATCCATCATTTCATGAACTGTGATTGAAGCGGAAATCACTGGAATCTATCAAAACATAATACAAGATTTATTTTACATGATTTGCAGACATGTTCTCCATAAGGAACATGCAGGGGAACGAAAACATTTCCAAAAGCACCAAACAAGCCATTGTTTACTAGTGTTGACATTACAGGCTGCCGGAATAATAACAGCTTCTGGAATAGACGCAAAGCAGCGGAAATAAATATCAAAGATGACCAGAATAAATGGCAGGATGCCAAAAACAATCAAATATAACATAATTTCAGTATAGCTATATACCTGTATATAGGTGTGTAGCAGTGTGTAGGTGGAATGGCATTTGGAATGCTGGCAAGATGCAGCTCCTACGAAAAAAATGTAAGTGCATTTTTGCAGTTTGGTTGGCATATTCCTACAGCCATGGGTGTGGTGGTGGTGGTGGAAGGGAAAGGGATGGTCACAATAGTGTGACCATGCCGCAAACAGGAGACATGACGATATGGCATGCCCTCAAGTAAGTCATGTGACTTCACCCTGCAGACTGAACAAAATCATGAATCCTTATTGCAGCTATCACTTACCTATACTAATATATAAATCATTACTCTTCTATTCATTGATCAATAGAATTACAAGTCTGGATAGTCTATTTTCGCTTTTTTGTAGTATACTTAATTAATAAGTAATAAGCAATAATCCACTGGAATCCACTGGACTCCAGTGGACTATGACTGGACTCATAGTCCACTGGACTGGGACTGGACTGAGGAAAGTGGCTTGTAGTCCAGTGAGAGTCCAGTGAACTGGACTGGACTGGGCATTGTGCAAGCCAATCTGGCCTAGCAAGTGTGCCACTGGACTCCACTGGACTCCACTGGAATCCACATGGATTACGTGGGGGAGGGTAAAGACCTCCCTGGCACAGCCCACTGCTACTCACCAGGTAAGTTGGACCGCCTTCCCATATGTGGTGCATCCCAGTTCCGCCGCCTGAGGTTGCTGTGCCATGTAGCCATGTAGCATTTGATGCTTTTGGGCGCAGAATCCTACTGCGCCCACTGCCCCTTTCAAAACCTGACTCATTTGGTTGTAGGTCAAATCAACATGCAGCAACCACCAGGCCATCAACAATGCAAGTCAGAATCACACAGGCTGTGATGCAACTGGCATTGCAGCATTTGCCTGCCCCCGAGCAGGTGCCTTCATTCCAGGCAGCATTGTTGACTTTCAGAAGGGCGAGCGCCAGCTGAACATCGACTATGCTCTTTGTGAGGTGCTGAAGAACATGGGACTGAATGGTTTGGACGATATCATGATCATATATGACATGATGTGTCAGTATCATGTTAATCTCTGGGACAGGATTGCTAACAATCCAAATCTTTCCATCTCTGAGAAGGCTAATTTGATCATGGGAATTGGTTTATTTCATGTCCATGGTCATCAGGATGAGTGCCTCTTCTGGTTGGCGACATCATTTATTCCCGGAGCTGGAATGGTAGATGGGGAAATATTGGAAAGCCTTTGGGCGCAGCTCAATGATATCTCGAGGAGCACCCGCATGGCCACCCTCGCCCATCGGGCCGAGGTCTTGGACGACCATATGAATGACAGCAACTGGAATAAAATGGTCAACATTGTCTCCTCAGTCATTACCAAGTACAGGAAGGCTGTCGTTGGTCTGGTGGACAGCAAAGACTACTTTGACCAACTGAATAGTTCAGCAGGTGAACACAACCACACATGGCAGGCAGAGATTCGTGCGGCTGAGAGCGATCAGGCACAAGGGAATTTGAAGGAGATGGATATTATG